CTGTTAAATGAATTGGAAGACTGTGGATCGCTGAGTTCCAAAATAACATACCCATTTGGAGAATAAAGGCCAATAATTTAAAATCAATAATTAAAATTCCCTGTAAATGTTGCTTTGCTGATGACAAAGGCTGAATGAAATGACAAATTTAAAACTGTTCCCCAGAAATTTGTGTATGTGCTTAATTCTTACTTGTGTGTAGCTTGTATGAATCATTCCCAATGATAATTATCTGAGGGACTAAAATTCTGATCTTGCCAAGAAAGCTTTGTCTTGAATGTTAAATAGACTATCAATTAAAAAAGTGTTGGTTTCTGTCTTCTGGTTTTGGATTGTTCAGTTGTAGTCAGGTTCTCTTTTTAAATTTTCACTTAATAGTGGTTGTTGTGGTTTGAACTCAGAAAATTGCCATATGGCCAGTTGTTTACTTCCCCCCAGCCTAGTGAAATAAGAGAGGGACAAAAGAAGAAATTTGTAGGTTGAATTAAAAAAAAAAAAAAATTAGTAATACTAACAAAACCAACAGTAAAAATAGTAGTTGAAAAATGAGTAAAATTGCAGCAGTGACTCACCAAGCAGCGACCGGTACAGAGCTCATTCTCAGCAGTGATCCAACCGCACCAGAAAATCCCTCCAGGCTGACCCAGAAACCAAAACCAAAGATGCTGATGGGAGAGCACTTGTCTGCCTATATCCTGATGTCACATGATATGGAGTGCTCCAGTGATCGATCGGGACACAGCCCTCCATCTGTGCTCCCTCGCATCCCAAGGAAAGTTACCTCTATCCTGGCTGAAACCAGGACAGTCTCCACCCCTTATTCCATATCATTTATGTTATGCTCAGGTTCCAAATATGTTCTAAGGAATCACCATCTCTTTTCCTGGGTTTCACAGATGCCATTCCCTCAGTCTGTAGGCCATCCTTCAAAAATGTCTACTGAGTTCATTTAGTCCATAACTTTGAGTTCCATCTGTCATATGACAGTCTTTAAAAACTGGAGGAATGAGGTGGATTTGGCTCAGTCAGTGGAGCAGGAGCCTTTGGATGTGGCAGGAGGATGCCACCAATTGCAATAACAGGATTATTTGACAGTTCGATTCATTGGCTATTTTCATTGGCTAAAATCAAATCTCTTTGAGGCACACATCGGACTTCTCCATCCTTCCATATTACCCACCAAGTGCACCTAGGTCCTTGGGCAAAAGTAATCCCACTCATGGGTTTACCTTTACCCAATGCAGTAGTAACCCAGATGGTCTTCCCCAGCATATTTTTAATGCTCACTATGGGGGCTTTATCCCCATCTACAGTATGTAGGAAGTTTGACTTAGCAGGGCCAGCTTGCTTGGCAGATCCTCTGGTATTGACTAACCAGGTGGCTTTTGCTAAATGCACATCCCAGTGTTCCGGGGCTTCACCTGGATCAGTCCATAGTAAATGGTGTGGCTGTGTCTCCACCTCTGGGGCAGTCGATTCCAGGTGTACTGGACACTCCTCCAGGTAAAAGCAAACTGTGGCCTGCATTCTGCTGCCAGAGGGATGGAGAAAAATGCGTTGGCAGTATCAATCGTGGCGTACCACTTGGCTGCCTTTGACTCGAGTTCATACTGAAGTTCTAGCATGTCTGGCATGGCAGCACTCAGCAGTGGCATGACTTCATTCAGGCCATGATAGTCTGCTGTCAGTCTCCACCCTCCATTGGACTTTCACACTGGCCATATGGGGAGTGTGTCTTGTGGATCATTCTTTGGCTCTCTAATTGATGAATCAGTTTATGGATAGGGATTACAGAGAGATATTGCTGTCGGTGCCCTGTTGTAGTGGCATTTGGCACCTGTTGTTCTTCAACCCTCAGCAATCCCACAACAGAAGGATCCTCTGAGAGACCAGGTAACACAGCTGTTTAATTTCTTCTGTTTCTAAGGCAGCTATACCAAAAGCCCACTGATATCCTTTTGGGTCCTTAAAATACCCTCTCCTGAGATAATCTATACCAGGAATACATGGAGCATCTGGGCCAGACACGGTGGGGTGTTTTTCTCAATCTTTTCCACTTAGGCTCACCTCAGCATCCAATACAGTCAGCTGTTAAGACACCCCTGTCACTCCTGAAATACAAACGGGTTCTGCCCCTTTAAATTTTCACAACATCAGGGTGCATTGAGTACCAGTGTCCACTAAAGCCTCGTGCTGCTGGGGGTCAGATGTGCCAGGCCATGAAATCCACATGGTCCAGTAAACTCAATTGTCCCTGTCCTCCACCTGGCTGGAGTCAGGGACCCTCTAATGTTGGCCATAATATCCACTAATGACAAATGGGTTAGTGTGGTGTGCATGGGTTTCAGCCTTATCTTCGTCACTCACTTCTTGTGAATACAAGTCAGAAATTCTTCTCATAGAATCGTGAGTAAAGTCAAACCTTCTGCTCTGTTTGGGCACTTGATTACTGGAAACTGGAGGAGCATTTGTCCTAAAATAACCCCATTATGTACCTGTTCCTCTTTCCAACTCACATACCTGCTCTTCTAGGAGGTAGGTATGTTTTCCATCCCATTTCTTCATGTCTTTTCCATAGTCACGCAGGTGATGCCACAGTTTCCCCAGTTGTGTATACCAGTTTTCTCAAGTAGATAAATGACTGCTCCTAATAGCCAAGATACTAGTCTGTGCAGGTGGGGAGTAGGACATGCTCTCTTTAAATTGCTGGAATTATTGAGATAATTTATCCACAGCCACAACAAGGTAGGAAGAGGGACTTTCTTCATATTGTCATAGTCAGCAAGCCAGTTCATCCACTGTTAGTCCCTTTCCATCTCTCCAGTCCATTACTAAGGGAATCCTCATTAGTTTAATTTCCTCCGCTGACTAATGTGATTAATTCAGCGGGTTGCCACATCTGATCTGAGGTTCCATTATATGGAGTGCTGCAAAGTTTGATCCAGACTCAGGTTTCCAGCTGTGCTCCCCATCAGCCCAAGAAAAGTTAACTCTATCCTGCTGAAATCAGGACACTAGTCCTGCAATATTCTTGCAATTCTAACTAAAGAAAATTTCTATTTCTTTATCTTTTTTTTTTTTTTTTTTTTTTTTTTTTTTTTTTAATTTAGCCCCTAACTTTGTGACAAAGTGCTTTCTGGTGTGCAAATTCAAAAAAACTTACCAGGGTTTTTTCTTTAAATGAAGCAAATTTCATAATGATATCAGCAATTTTGTATCATTCATGGGCTGTGAGTTGGTTTTCAGGACATAACCATTGATTGCAAAAGTCAGTCTATCAAAACAAATGTAAAATGACAGGTACATAGGCATTCTGCACTATCATTCAATTCTCTTACACTGAAATTAGTAAAAAAAAAAAAAAAAAAGAAGCGGACCAAACTCCCCTCTCTTGTAGTAGGTAAACCTTGGTTTCTGCCAGTCCTCTTGAAAGAAAAGAGAAATCAAAAAATAATGCAGGTTACCTTTACAAAAAGAACATTCTTCCTATAACAGCTGAGGGAGAGGGAGAGATAAAACAGAATGAAAAAAACATCTTTATAGCATTCTCTTTCCATGACATTACATAAGGTTGAGAGCACTCAGGGTGCAAGAGCATCCTGTTACCCTTTTAGAGTCAACATGTCCATCCTTGCCATGTATGAATGCCATGTATGTTTTGCTGATCAGGGATACCAATTAAACTCAGACACCAGAGTGAAGAGAGCAGGTGTATTTTACTGGAAATACCTAAAAAACGTAACCGAATAATACAGAAAACATACACAGTAAGAAAAGACAGAATCGTGCACTTAAACAAAGAGGAAAATACAGGGTAATGCGTCAAATGGTTACTACCTGAGAGAGACAATAGTGATTAAGAAAGATCCATCACCACTCGCATACGCTACCATCATCCAGACCCGCAGATGCTGGGCAGCCCCGGTGACAGCGAGGGTTTGGAGAGCCTTTCCCGGCAGGGGGGAAATCCTACGCGGTGCGTCCACCCGTAGGTGAGGCGTCCAAAGTCGCTGTGAGCGGGTCCAGCCTTACACACCCCCAAAACAGCAAGCCAGCATAGCTGGCACCTCTGTATGAGGCGGAACTATCTGGTGTCACTCTCGCATTAGATTCCCCCAGAGCCTGGCCAGGGCTCAAGGGAGAAGCTAAGGGAGTTTCCCTGCTTATCTGATTTATTTATGTTCTCTTGAGAACAAGGCCACCCGTCTGGTCCCAAAGCCGGACAGCCGGCTTCATGGTCTTCTTACCTTGCCTCTACACGAAGAAGAAGAAAGATACATCCAGGATAGACGTGTTTTCATGTCATTCACCGTCAGTAACGAGCATGTGATATCTAAGCTACATCTTTCATTAATTCCTTAGTACATCATTTCCTTAATGACTACACACTAAGTTAGCAGCTTGGGCTCGGGGCCTGTTGTGCAGGCTTCAGTAACACTTTAGCACTTTTTACATCAGTATAGGTGGTTTGTTATAACCTAGCATGATGCCTACTAGCACGATGCTTATCAGTTTCCAAAGACACAGGATTCATCTCTAGGTCAGGTCTGGCCTGGGCCTATTGTCCAAGCCTTAGCCCTTCAGCCCGGTGCTTAACGCTTTAAGGGAAGTTCAGCACGCTGGGAAAAGGGATATAAGACCACTCTTCTGGACACTGTCTGGACAGAGCTAGGCTGGGGTTGGAGAGCCTGGGAGGGTCTCCGGGGTCCCAGCTCTCCCGCAGTGCTGACTGCGGTGGCTGCTGCCTGTCCTTTCCTGCAATGCTGACTGCACCCACCTGGTGGGGCTGTCCTTGGGAAGGGCCCCAGGGCTGGAAAAGCCCCTGGAAGAGAGGCGAGGACAAGCTCTTCTCCAGAGGTTTGCCAGAAACTCTGCAGAGCATCCCTTTTCCCGCCCATGAGATGCTCTGTGTGGCAAGGGAAGGTGCCCACTACTCCACAGTCCTGGGCAACCTGGTCTAGGTGACCCTGCGTGAGCAGGCAGGCTGGACCTCCACAGGCGCCTCCCAGCCTCAGCTGTTCTATGGGATTCTGTGCTTTCGTTTGACTCCTCAAGCAAACCGAACTCAGCCCCGATGCCTGCTGGAAAGGATTCTGCCGCAAGGGAGGATGATCCCAAACTCCTCCACTAGGATTCATCCCAAAACAACTTCTACCTAGTCCAGAATATCGTAGTGCACACGTAGACAGAAGGGAGAAAATGTCCTTTAATTGTGGACATCAGGAGCCCAGGAGTCACAGGGGTTCAGTCAGTAACAGGAAATCAGCACCTGCAACGACAGAGCCAGAAAGCACTGGTAAAGCCACAAAGGCAGGAGCAGGCATGGCTTGGTTCCCCTTTCTTTGGGAAACAGAGTTGACAAGGAATTGTTGGTATCCCAGAAGAGAGCTGCTGCTGGCCTTGGCTCCGCGGTGGCCCTGGCACCTTTTCCCCTCTAAGGTAACACCCTCGGAGATCTGCGCGTGTGCAGAGGTGCACAGTGCCCCTGTGCCACACAGCAGGGCTCCCCTGGGGAGCTGCCATGGGGTAATTTCCAAAGCCTGCATAGCAGCGTCCCTCGCCAGTCAGTCGGAGTGACTTAGAGCAGTGTGGAGAGTTGGCAAAGATGGGCAGCGGAGCCTGGTACACACCTGGGGCTCCTTTTGCACCTTCCTGCTCCTTTTCCTCCTGGCCCTTCTTCTCCTCTCTTCTCTTCTTTGCTTGGTGGCATGGCCTCTCTTCTTCCCAGGTTTCTTCTCGCTTTCTTTTCCCGTGGCCATTGTTTTTCTGAACAGAGCCTGCAAACCTTTCCATCCCACAGCATGATTAGATAGGTAAAGGCAGGATCAACTGGAATCAGTTCTTGATTTACCCAAAGATGACTCGTTTTACCTTCTGTGCTCTGCGAGGCTCTTCAGTTCTCCTGCGCATCCCGGGGAGTCTCCCACGGTCTCAGGGGTGCTCAGAGACAAATCAACGGGTGCCTAAACCAGAAATGTGGTCATTAGCAGGGGGCAAGGGGTGCCCTGAAGTAGTAAGCAACTGTTTGGCACGTTGCTACCTTAGCTCTACAGGGGAGATCCCTTCGGCTGGTTTGCATCGGCCCTTTCTTCCAAGGGTCTCGCTCTGGAGCACAGTGTTCACGTGGGTGTGGGACAGTCCATTTGTGGGGGCCATTCAGCAGAGAGCCTGTGCTCCCCTGCCCGGCAAGGAAAGGCTTGCCCACTTCCTTCTGCCAGAATTCCTTCTGCCCTCCCAAGACGGAGCTCCGCGGACGTCCCTTTGGTGCAATACCACCTTCTGTGGTGGCAGGCTTTGCTTTGGAAATCTATCTTTCTGTGGCGTTTTGTGGGCATTTCCTCTGATTAAGCGCATGCCTAACGCCTTGGAGAAAATACCTTTCCAGTTTTACTTACAGTCTGTCGTTCCATGGGGGGCAAATGAAAATGCAAAACCACAAGAGCCTGAATGCCAGGAAGAGGCACAGCAGCTGCTTGGAGTCAAGAGGAACTACCCTGCTCCTACCTAAGACACACGGTGGCAGCGCTGGTGGAGGGAGCTGCCATACCTCTGCCCTTTCTGCTCCCACCGCCACGTCTCCCCCTGCTGCTCTCTGGAGGACGAGCAGAGGGGCTGGTGCTGGATCCAGGGAGGCTTTTTCCTGCTGCTCCGCGTCTGCTTCGCCCGCAGGGCCATGCTCCTTTTCCAAAGGCAGCTCTGGAAAGCAAAAGCGTGTGCAGCAAAGTGACGTGTTGGAAGTGGCCAACAACTAAAGCAAAACCCACCGGAAGCCCTCCCCCAGCTGTCTGCTCAGGCTGTGACAGCCCTCAGTCCCTCCTCCTACCTGTGGATCTGTCCACGGGCTCTGGTGACATCTGGCCAGCCATCTCCTCCCCAAAGATGTCACTGCCGTTTTCAATCAGAAATTCCACCAGCAGCTTCACCTGCACACATCAAAGCCTTGGTTTCAGTGCAGGCGTCCGGAGAGGTGTCAAGCAGATTTTCCCGCTGCTGACCCTTGCTTCTGCACAGAAGGCTGTGGCTGTGGGGCTGCTCTGCCAGGCAGCCACTCCACCGGCATTTGCTCGGGAGAGGAGCAAGCTCTGACGGCCCAGGCAGGCTGCAGCCAGCCGGTCAATAGATCGTACCTTCTCGGTCACCTCCAGCATGGCCTCGAAGGGGAGCAGGGCCTCGTCGGGTGGGCCCAGCAGGTTTGGCCCCAGGCAGATGGCCAGGTTGCTGGAGGTCATTCTGCTGGTGGACACCTGGTGGCCAATGTTCTGCAGCAGTGGGAGCAGCCACTGGAGGAGGAGGAGATGGGCTGCAGGCAAATTCTCGGCCACTCTGAGGGAGCAGGAACACAACGTTAAGGAAGCAGAAGTTGCCCACAGCTGTCCCTGAAGCTTGCACAAGGCAGGCGGGAGCCAGTGTCTGTGTTGTGCCCCTTTCCACGTGCTCCCAGTCAGCGATCAGGAAGAAAGCAGAGTGTTGCTTCCCAGCTCCTGATTTCCCCCAAGCCCACGCAAGGGAAGGCTCCCTGCCCACGCCCTTTCCCCCAAAATGACACCCCAGCCCAGCAAACGCAAGCTGCCAGAAATGCAACCTTCTAAGGAGCCCGTCCCTTTCCAGGCATGTCCCAGGCCCCCACCACTCCCTGCTCAAGAGGCAGGCTGCTGGCCACACTTACACTCTCAGCTCTTCCACCCTTGCCTGCTGGCTCGGCCTCTCCACGGCTCGCATCCAGTCCTGGTAGAGGTCCACGACCAGGAGCTTGCCGGGGATGCTGCGCAGAAAGTCCTGCAAGGCCAAGGGCTTCAGGTGAGCCTTTGAAGATTCCGGGCCAGCCAGGAGCTCTTCCAGCTGCAGGGCAGAAGCACTCACCTTCAGGACGGCAGCCAGCAGGATCTCAGGCTGGCTTGGCAGGTCCACATCTGTGCCGCGGTCCAGGGCCTCCTTCAGGTTCCCAAGTTCCGTTGCGCCGGCAGCCATGCGGAAGATCCCCTCCGTCGACGGTCCTCGCTGGTGCAGGATGTCCAGGAGCTCCTGCGGGAGACGCAGGAGGACAGCTGCTTGGCTGAAGAAACAAGTGACGGCAGAGGCCAGAGCTCTGCCCCAGGCTGGGCTCCCTCGCCCCGCAAAGGGCCTGGGACCAGAAGCGTGAGGCGTGGGTGAAGAGCCCAGTCCCCCAGCCAGCCCCGGAGCCGCTGGGGACGCTGCCTCTGGAGCAGCCGGGGAGAGGGCTGGGGCCCCCCTGTGAAGGCTGGCCTACCTGGATGGGCCGGGGCAGTGTGCCGGCCTCCCCACAGAGGGCTGCCAGGGGCTGCCCAAAGAGTGCCCTGCTGCAGCTGGAGCCCGCCTGCCCTGGCGCCGGGGCAGCGGCCGGGCTCCGCCGCAGAGCAAAGGGCCAGGGCAGCCCCCTCCTCCTCGTCCTCCTGCTGCTGCTGCTGCCGCCGCTCCTCCCCGCTGCAAAGGAAAAGAGAGCAAGAGCCCGTCACTGGGAATCGTCAGGCCAGCGCTCCCGGAGCCTGCCCTGCCCTGCCCTGCCCTGCCCTGCCCTGCCCAGCCCTGCCTGCATCGTGGCGCTGAGCGCTGTGGCGGGACGACACGGGCAGGGAGCCGGCAGCTGGAACCAGGGCTCTGGCTCAGCGTCTCCGGCTCGCAGCCTCCTGAGAGCCGTCGGGACAGCGGGACAGCCCAGCCCAGCCCTCGCCCTGCCCTCCTCCAGGCTGCCAGCAGCAGCAGAGGGAGGCTCCCTGTCCGGCAGAATCACGTGCAGCGGCCGCTGCCCAGCGGGTGTCCTTGCTCGTCCAGGTGACCTCCGTCCTCCCTTGGGGTGCCCAACCTGCAGGGTGACACTCAGGGAACAAGGGAGCACGGCTCCTCCCGGCTCTGGCCGAGGAGCAGGGACCCCTCTGCCCGGCTCTGGGGGCAGAGCTCAGGCAGGCAGCACCTCGAGTGCTCAGCACTGTCGAAGGCTCCCGAGCGCTCGGCTCTCTCCTGCTGCGGCGTGATGGGCACCGGTTTCCTCTGGGCAAAGGGCAGCAGCAACAGCATCCTCACTTGTGCAGATGGGCCGGTCCTGGAGAAAAGAAGGCCCTCCCTGCCCTTCGTTCCCAAACTCACCTGGTGAGCGGCAGAGTCGCCCTCCATTGGTAGATGGGGCTGTTGGAGGCCCTTGCTTGGGATCAGCCTGCAAGAACCAGGCTG